CGGCGGTCGCTCCCTCAGCATCTGAGCCCATTCCTCGCCGGTGGGGAGCTGGGAACAGCAGAAGATCGAGTATGTGCGGGCTAATAAGCAATTGTGTACAGTCCACTGGGAGAATGTGCAAGCAGGTGGCAAAACGGGACCTGATCTGGGGTTTTGGCGCTGGTGAGGTGTGAGTTGGGGTGCTGCGTCCAGCCTGGGCGCCGTACTTGGAGAAAGGCGGGACTGGTGGAGAGGCCAGGCCTTTCCGAGGGATCTGAGGCCTGGAAACACGACTTGTGAGGAAATACCCGACAAGTTGAGTCTGTTTAGCCAAAAGAGAAGGCAAAAGGGGATGTGTTCAAGCGTGTAAAAGCACGGTTGGGAAGAGAAAGAGAATAATCCGTTTCCCCTGCTGTGACAGGAATGATGAGAAGTAAGAGGGCTAAATTGCAACCAGGACAATTTAGGTTGCCATCTCTTAGACCATTAGAAATAATACAAGGATTGGAATAGGTGGCTGGGGGGATTATACATGCTTCAGTTGAAGTCTCCGGGAACAGCAGTGCAAACACCTCTCAGAAACGAGATGTATACTTGCCTCCAGTTCGGAGCAGAGAGCTGGGCCAGGTGCACCCTGAAGGTCCCATCCAAATCCCTTACACTGTCATCGTTTGATAATGAGCTTGATCATTATTTATCAAGTGGTTTTCTGAGTTTTCACAACTGCCTCTTTGGTCTGTGGCTGAGCTGAGCACCATGGTACTGGGCCTCACATCAAATCCTGCTAGTCTGGTTTGATGCCAAATCAGACACCACATCAGAAGAGTGTAATTTTATAACCTATTTCCTCAGATATTAATAACTGCGCTAAATGCAAAGAAGTAGAAAATCAGGTCTGTAATGTCTGCAGACTAAAAAAATTCAGGATACTTTGTGCAAGGTGTTATGAAACAGTTAATTGGAACACTCAGAAAGTCGTATTTGGGTACCACTAAAGCAAATTACTTGAAATCCAAACACAGGGTGTTTGAACCTGATTATTTTTGTAAGTAAATTGTTGCTCATTTTCTTCCCTCACTTAAATCCACATGCCAAAATCCAACAACTCTTATAATGGGAGAAGGAAGGGTAATCTTTGCATGCAGGTCTTAGATGCACTTAACTGTCTCGTATGCAGCTTAAAATGTTTACGTGTGATAAAAACAATTAGGAGAATATGTCAAAATGGAAGCCTATCTAAGACTACTGTAAACCCATTTATTCTGAAAGTGTATAAATGACATGCATTAAAGAAAATTAAGGCTTATTCAAGTTGAGCAGTGATTTATAAAACCAAAATGTAGAAATGTCAAAAAAATACAGTAAACACCAGCCAGCTGACTTCACTTGCTAGAAATAACTGTTCAAAGCTGCTGTTTGTGTTGCTGGACAACGGCTTTCATGCCGACAGTTTAACAGGAACAGATTTACATTTGCAGATCTCACAGAGAAGAAGTTATGTGTTGAACGTGACCTTCTAACATTCCTTCCTTTGTGACTGAAAGAACAGCTCCGAACAGATTTGTGAAAGACTGTGTGCAATTTGTCTTGAGGGAAGGGGCGATTTTTCAGGAAAGTCAGGAAGTTCAGCACATAAAAAACTTTTTATATGGCATGACTTCTATTCTGATTTTAAAATAGCTTCACTGATACTCTCTTTTTACTTACAAGTCGCAATAGTGATGCATTTGTTGTGCACTTGGTTAAATTTATTGAGGGAACATGAGAGCCTCCCTTTCTTTTTTTCTCCCTGCATCCATACCAGAGTGATCCTGAATTTTATTATATGACTGATTAACTGCGTGCTGGGAAGTGTCTGGATTGCATTTTGACACAGGCTAACTACCAAGAGAAGAATATGATTTCCTATGCTTTCCCTCTTGCAGAGCTTCAGGTTTTTTTCCTAATGTGTAGGCTATAATGACTTTTTGGTTTTGCTTGCTTTATAGTTCCAGTTATTTGTATTTCCCCCTCCTTCTATCTTCAGTCATCTTGGCATATGAACTTCCTGTTAATAAACTTGCTCTTTGCACATATATGTTGAATTTGTTATTTGGAGGCTATTACAGTTGTTCAGGCACTGAAGTGCATAATCTGATACACTTGTCAGCCCTTGAGATATGCAGCAAAGTGTGGGGTTTGAGGGTGTTAGCAATCCATTAGGCAAAGAAGACAAAGTACTATTTCAGAAACCAATCAAATCTTATTTCTGTTTTGATTGCTTATAGGATTTGCTTTGTCTACACATGCAGCAAGTAGTATGACAATTCACATTTTGTATATGTGATTTATATAAATACTGATGGGAAATTTGACATTTAAACCAATAAAAGATATTAGACTTAACTCGCTATTAGATTTTTTAATAGAAAGACATTTCTTACAGGGGCAGGAAATTGCAATAACACATTCAGTGATTTATTGCAATATTTTACTTTCAGATCTTCAAAATGAACTGTCGTAGCTCTTCACAGTTAATAGAATTTGAGGTTAACTGGGGAGCAGTACATCGCTGTCACCACGGAAGGGACAGGACGGGGCAGCAGACAACCTCCATTAATTGAGGGCGCTGCATAAACCTGGCAAGGATTGCATTTCTGGAAATCCAGGTAGCTTAATCTCACTTCTTTCTGTTTTGAAAGAGGAGTTCCAGGTATTTACTAACATTGAAAGGAGAAATAACAAATCTGATGATGGCCTTATGTAAATCTCAATTAATCCAGTAAGAATTATTAACTTGGCCTCAGTGGGCTCGGGATCAGAGCAATCCCAATACCCTCTTAGGAAGGGTATTCCTAGGGCAGCCCCCTGCTCATTTACTCAACATATTTTTAGTTTGTATGAGTGGCAAATGAGGTTAAATTTATTTTACAGCTTTCTTTTCCATTTACTGTCTTGAACAGTTAGGAAAATTTGTATTGATCCACCCTGGTAACTCATTTATAAAACGTTGCTTCCCTTTAACTTCGCGTTAGGAGCTTTATTTGTGCGTGGGGTCCTCCAGCAAGAGAAACGTTTGCTCCTTTTTGGTATAAAACTTCTTTGCTGCTCGTTTTCCTGGTGATCCTCCCTCACGCCCGGGTCTGCGGATGCTTGCCTGGAGCGCAGGCAGCAGTCACTGCAGCCTGCCAGGCTTCACTGATGCTTTAAAGTTGGAAAATTATCTGTAGAGCTTGAGAGTAGCCC